GCATCAGCTACCTTTTCTTAAGGTTTTGGAGTATGGTCTTATTTGTAGACTCCGCCTGCCCGTTCCCACTAGGGTGATAGGGTGTTGATAGGATCATTTTGATTTTATGGTCCTCGAAAAATTTGCTTACCTTACTGCTGATTAATTTCTTCCCATTTTCACATATGATCTCAGCCGACATTGCGAACCAACATATTATGTGGTCCCAAATAAAATCAATAAATTATTTTTCTCTAACTTTCTCAAATTCCTGAGCTTTAACCCATTTAAAAAAATAGTCGGTCATAAATAATATAAATGGAGCCTTACCGGGTGCCCATGGCAGGAGACCAACGATGTCCATTCCCCATTTTATGAATGGCCAAGGTGACAAGACCGAATGCAGCAGCTCCCTGGCTGATGGATCATCGGTGCGTGCCTATGACAATCGTCACATTTCCGTACGAACTCCTTCGCATATTTCTCCATGTCGATCCAGTAATAGCCGACACTGATTATTTTACGAACCAACAATTCAGCCCCAGAATGGTTCTTGCGGGTGCCTTCGTGAACTTCCCTGGAAACCTATTCGGTGTCTCCTAGTCCCAAACATATGGTGAGTGGGCCATTGAGCGTTCTTTTGAACAGGGTGTTATCTTCAGATAGGCTAAACTTGGCCGCCTTCATGCATAGAGCTCTCGATTATTTAGGATCCGAGGGTAGATTCCTAGTCTTCAGGTAATATATATAGTTGTTTCTCTCGATGTGGCCTTCTTCCACTACTGATTTCATGAGTTGTATGATCATTCCCGAGCTGAATTGATCATCATAACCGACGACCCCAAGTTAGCCAGATCATCGGCTTCACTGCTTTGATCCCAAGGTACATGATGCAGGGTCCACTCCTAGAATCGATGTAGTGTTACCTGTAGTTCATCCAAGTATCTTCGCATTCGTACCTATTTCACTTCGAATGTCCCATTGACTTGATTCACCACAAGGAGAGAATCGCATTTAGCTTCAATTAATTCGGCCGCGAAGCTTTTAGGAAATTCGAAACCTGCAATCATGGTGTCATACTCGGCCTCATTGTTATTCAATTTCACAGTGCTAATAGATTGCCTAACTACGTTATCCTTGGGCGGCTTCAACACGATGCTGAGTCCAGACTCTTTTGCGTTCGAGGAATCGTCCGTAAAAAGGGTCCAAATTCCCAAGGAGGTCCTCGAGGTTAACAACAATTCCTTTTCGACTTCGAGTATTAAGGCTGACATGAAGTCGGCCGCAAAATCTGCCAAAATTTGGGATTTGATGGCGATTCGGGGTCGATATTCGATATCGTACCCACTAATTTCCATGGACCATTGAGCCAATCATCCCGATAGCTCGGGTTTGTGCATTATGTTCCTCAATGGGTAAGTGTCACGACACATATGTGATGGAATTGAAATTATGGCCTTAACTTCCTGGAGGCGCTTAGCAAAGCGAGCACCAATTTCTCATGGTTAGGATACCTGGTTTTGTCCTCGCCTAGAGTCCTGCTAACATAATATACGGGGAATGCGTACCTTCTTTTCGGACTAAGACTCCACTTACCGCTATCTTGGATACCGCTTGTACAGGTACAACTGCTCATTTGCCTTCAGAGTATGAACTAAAGGCAGACTCGAAAGGTACCGTTAGAGTTCTTCCAAAGCATGCTGGCACTCCGGGGTCCATGAGAAGGTATTCTTCTTCTTCAATTATAAGAAGAACCGATGGCTCTTAACGGAGGACCTGAAATGAACCGACCTAAGTCGGCTATGCGTCCGGTTAGCATCTAAACGGCCATAACATTGTCCACCATGATGATGTCTTCTATGGCCTTGATTTTGTCGAGATTGATCTTGATTCCCTGGTTGGGCACCATGAATCCAAGGAACTTCTCGAACCCAACTCCGTATGCGCATTTCTCTGGGTTCTGCTTCATATTGTATTTCTTTAGTATGTTGAAGGTTTCCTGCAAATGTTTCAAATGTTCCTCTACTCGTAGGGACTTAACTAACATGTCGTTAATGTAAACCTCCATTTATTGTCCTATTTTCTCTTCGAACCTCCGATTTACTAGGCATTAGTAAGTGGCACCTGCACTTTTTAGTCTAAATGGCATTACGTTATAACAATAGGTGCCATATTTAGTGATGAAGGAAGTCTTTTCTTGGTCGCCCGGGTCCATCCGGATCTGGTTGTACTAGGAATAAGCATCGAGAAAGCAGAGTATCTCATGACTGGCCATCGCATCGATCATGCGATCGATGTTAGGCAAAGAAAAAGTCCTTAGGGCATGCCTTGTTCAATTTTTTGTATTCTACACACATCCTTAATTTATTTCCTTTTTTAGGCACTACCACTACATTTGCTAACTAATCCGGGTACTTAACTTCCCAAATGGAACCTATTTTAAGGAGTTTGGATATCTTGTCTTTGATGAATGCATGCATTCTTGACTTCGGACTGAGGCCTCCTCTTCTGTTTAACCAAGTGAAACTTCGGATCCAAGCTCAGCTTGTAAGTATTTATTTTCGGCGGGATCCCTGTCAGGTCAATATAGGACCAAGCGAAACAATCTATGTTAGCTATAAGGAATTCAATGATTTTATTCCTGAGCTCGGGAGTTAACCCTGTGCCCAGGTATGCCTTCCGATCGAGGAGGTGCTCGATCAATATAACTTGCTCCAGCTCCTTAACCGTTGACTTTGTGGCATCAAAATTGTCAGGGGCTATGAAAGACCTGGGGACTCTGTGATCTTCATACTCGCCAGTCCCCTTCTTTTCTGGTTCGGTTGGGGCCGGTGTCGGTGATTGCTATTTGGTTTCTTCCTTGGTGACCAAACTCGGGTTCTCCGATGTTGAGAGTGCGGATATCCGAACCACCTCATCTATCGTGAACATTTCTTTTGCAGACGGTTGCTCTCCATAAACTGTTTTAATCCCTCCCGATGTGGGTAATTTCAACGCCTGATGTAGTGTCATGGGTACCCCCCTCATGTTGTGAATCCATGGCCTCCCGAATAGAGAGTTGTATCTCATATCTCCTTCGATCACGTGGAACTTTGTTTCCTGAATTGTTCTGGCGGTGTTTACCGGCAGAGTTATTTCCCCTTTAGTGATCTCACATGCGATGTTAAATCCGTTTAAGACTAGGTCTGCAGGCATAATTTGTTCTTTTAGACCCAGCTGTTCCATGACCCTCGATCTGATTATATTGGCCAAGCTACCTGGATCAATGAACACAAGCTTAACTCGAGATTATTTACGCGTACAGATATTACTAGTGCATCTTGTGTGGTTGCACGATGCCTTCAATGTCCTCATTATTGAAAGATATGGTTCCCTCCGGTACATAATCTCGAGTTCGTTTTTCCTTGTAATGGACACTTTAGTACATTTTAACATCGGCCCCCGGGAGACGTCAACCCAACCAATGATCATGTTAATGACGTGCTGAGGTTCCTCTTGCTTGATCTGCTTGTTGGAGTCCCTATTCCTGAAGTAATTTTTGACTCGATAACTGAGTAACTCTTGGAGATATCTGTTATTGAATAACTGGGCTACTTTCTCTCTCAGTTGTCGGCAGTCTTCGGTTCTATGACCGTGAGTTCCATGATATTTACACATTACGTTGGGGTCCGTTTGGGCAGGATGAGATTGTAATGGTCGAGGCCACTTAGTACCTTCGATGTGTCTGATAGATGATACGATGGCGGCAACATCAACGTTGAAGTTGTACTCTGATAACCTTTGTTCTTCTTTAGACCTGATGGGTCTATCAAAACTGCTTTTGCTTATGAGTCCCCGGTTATTATGACCTCGATCGCTTCTTCTTTCACTTCTCACAGTGTTGCGTCTGGACCCATTACCCCTTCGATCTTCATTGTTTGGTTGATACCGATCTCTGTTCGATCTTGGTTCAAGATCGATGTCTCTTTTGGATCTTTCACCAGTTCTGATGGGATAAACGGAGCCGGAAGGGGCACCTCCTTTTTACTATCTCGGAAGGGAGTATAAGGGAGTTTTGTCAAATTTAAGTGACAATCGAAACAGGATTATTTAAATTAAAATCAGATTCGCCACTTGGTATAATTTATAGTGTCCCAAGTCACTGATTTAAAATCCTGAATCGAGGAAATCGACTCTTATTTATGGTCTGCGAACACAGAAATCTGGGTAAGGAATTCTATTAACCCGGAAGAAGCTATTAGGCCTTCCCGGGGTCTGTGGTTTTAGCACGGTCGCTTTGATCATACTTGGCTTAATCAAATTGTCTAATTACTTATTTTAGAACCTATGTGAATTTGCCTCTTTTAATTAAGAAATTATCTTGAAACGGGTCACGCGTACGTGTACCCATTTGTTTGGCACATCAAAAATCATGTCACGCGTGCGTGCCCACAATTAATAGCACTTTATTAATTATTAAGAGAGTTTGGCCAAAGTTGCGCGGACGCGTACCTCGATTTATTTTTAGAATCATTATTATGTCACGCGAACGTGTACACAATCACAATGATATTTTTAGAATTGGCAATACTAAATTAACTGTGAAAGTCTTTTATCGTTGTTCGTAAATAACAGCTAGGATTCCATCTTTATCCATATTACCAAAGGATACAAACTTTATTGCTATAAACCAACCTAAAATCAAGTGTAAAATCAAAAATACTAGATGCCTTTTGTAATATTATGCCATTAAATCCATCCTACTCCTAATGAAATTATTTAAAAACAAAATGATAAAACCAAAAATGACATGGAAGAAGAATAATAGTAAAGGGATAGGAAAACAAATAAAACGAACAGAAATCTGAAATAGAGATTAAAATTATTAAGTAGCCATTAGAAAATAGAGTTAATGAAGATTGTACTCCTAACTGGAACAACGCAGAGCTTCCGCAATTACTTCATTTAACAACATTATAAACCAAAAAAAATGATGCAAATTCATCACATATCTAAAGAAGAAGATCACAGGAACATTGTACCTGGAAGGAGCAGAACAGAGTTCCACAATAACATCGTGATAGACCCGCGAATCTGCCAGAAATCTCAGACTAACGCATCTTCGACGAACTCAGAATTCGCCGGAGGAACTCGAATCTCGTCGACAAACTCGAACTCAACTCAACCTCAATCGAACTCAAAAATTGAAACCAAGAACTCAGAATCGCAAAGAGGAAACATGAGACGTTTTCGTTTTGCTTAAGCTCAATCCAATTAACTTCTAAAACAGAGACTACTTACATGTATATATTCTGAAAATTCAGAGAAAACAAATAAAAACTTTCAGGTTAGAGCCTTCCTTTTTGATTTTTGTCTGTTTTGTACCTCTTCTCTTACTGTGCGTGCGTGAGTGTGTGCGTTTCCAGCTGGTTGTTGTAAACGGGAAGAAGTATAAGCAACGATGGGTGAAGGGAGGTGTGTTGTCCGGCGTGATGGGTGGTCTGTTGCCGGTCTTAGAGGTGAGGGGTTTTGGGTTGTGAAGATGGAAGAAGAGAGTAGGGGTTGTTTGGGTTGCTGAAGCTCAAAAAAATCGTTGAAGCTTGTGAGGTTTTGGTCTAAGTCTGGAGAAGACGAAGG